CTGGCTGGCATGTGGTGCTGGGGGATTGAACAGCGGTCCCTGTGCTTTGCTAAGCTTGTTCTAAGTAGGTGCTTTAGACCACTGAGCCATCTCACCAGCCCCGTAGCATTTCATTTTTAATGAGTCCTTTTTCAAATCTAAAATCTGGGCAGAAGTGCTCAGTTGTGTGACTTTGTAGTGCGAGTGTTTATGGTAAAGCTCACAGTTAATTACTCATAACTAATCATTTTTCAGATCTACAACTACCTCGACAAGTATGTGGTTGGCCAGTCCTTTGCTAAGAAGGTGCTTTCAGTTGCTGTGTATAATCATTATAAGAGAATATATAATAATATCCCAGCTAATCTGAGGCAGCAAGCAGAAGTTGAGAAGCAGACATCTTTAACACCTAGAGGTTAGTTTTTTTGCTAATTGACCAAAATAGAAATTGCTGTGCTGAGAAGTAATCTTTATTTTTGATTCCTTGCCTTAGTCTTAAAATGCACTTGATACAGGGCAGCCTTTTTTCAAAGCGTGATCTGTCGTCCTTAGTGTAAGGTCTTGACATCATTTGGTATATTGCCAGTAGCATTAAAAAAAAATTAATAGATGTGAGTAGAAACTGCTAGAGTATATTAACTTGTAAGTGTTGTTTCTTAAAACATTTGCTTTCAGAAAGTTCCATGCACATGGGTTCTCTACATCATAAAGCGGAATATATTTCTTACTAAGGTTCTCAGTGAAGGAGGCTGGGAGTTTGTCTCACCGGTGGAGTGCTTGCCTAGCACGTGCAAGGCCTGGTGACATGGATTGAGCGTTGTTTGTCCCTGAGATCTTCCTGGGTTCAGGGTACAGAATTTCATTTGCTTAAGTCAGATGATAGCTGTTAATATAGCATACGCAGCATTCTTCCTTTTTTTTTGTTTTTTTGGCCCCTAAAACCAAGTGCAAGGTTAAGGGCTGATTTTTATGTGATTAAGGTTAGATTTTAATGTACCCATATACTTTGTAATCTCAGTATATACAACATATGAAGAATATTAATAGAATGACTTTACTAAAACATAATTATGAATACAGTAACATTTTCAGTATTTAGGTTTTTATTTTGAAGTTTTGAGTTGTAAATCTATTGAGTTAGTAACTACCAAATATATAACTGATTTTATTGAAGACACCTGTTCATTTGTTGAACTTACTGCAAAATAGTCATGTGGGTAGTTAGTATCAGTTACATATTCTTAGAAAACATAAGTCATAACTAATGGAACACTTCAAACTTTTTTTTTTGTTTGTCTGCTTGCTTGTTTTGTGTTTTGGAAGGAGAGTCATTCAGGCTGACCGGTGAACTCACTGTGTGGCCCGGCTGGCCTCAAACCGCCAGCTGTTCTCCCACCTCAGCTTCCCTGTCTGGTATTGCAGGTGGGCACCACCACTCCTGGCCAGAGCTTCAATTTTTGTAAGGTTCAAAAAGCACTGTCTAGTCATGGAGCAAAATGTTTGTTGTAATGCCTTCAGTCAATCAGTACTGATCACTTCTTAGCCATTTGTTAAGATCAAGTGTGAGAAATCAATATTGAAATTGCTCTAGGCGCTGAAAGAACAAATATATCTAATTCTTACGAGAGACTTAAATTATTATGCTGTTTTCTTAAACTAGCAAATTCACAAATATGAGTATTAGCGTTGGACAACCATCATTAGTCTGGTTATGTTTTGTTTTATATAGAGTCTAATATATAAATTCTTTCATAATAGGAAAAGCTCAAAACAATGGTAATGAACAACTATTTTAAATATATTTAGGAAAGGGCAAGAAGTGGGGTACTCAATTGTTTCCCCAAACTCAGCAAATATGTAATTTTTTCATGTTGCCTTCTTTCATCTTCTTTTTAGAGTTAGAAATAAGAAGACGGGAGGATGAGTACAGATTCACAAGTAAGTAACCTTTCCTTAGGTATCCTCCATCGACTTCCTTCCTTTTGAGATTTACTGTTAGCATACTTCACTCACTGAACTGTCTTAGCCATACTTAGCAGTAGTAAACACTCAGTGAAATGTCATAGCAGTGGTACAGATAGACATGTATTTGTATGTGTATTACCAAGTAAGTATGTTTTATTTATATATGGTATGTAAATTTATCATTTATGGCATGTAGAACTTGTGAACTGTTTTTATTGCTAATTTTTGTTGCTAATTTTTGTAGTTCGTTCATTTTACTTTATTTTCTCTCTCTCTCTCTCTCTCTCTTTTTTTTTTTTCTTGTGGAGCTGAGGATTGAACTCAGGCCCTTGTGCTTGCCAGGCAAGCACTTATTCAACTGAGCTATCTCCCCGGCCCTATAATTGGTTTATTTTAGATACTTGGCTTATCTTTCTGGGTTCTACAACCCAGGGCACACTGTCACTGAGCTACATCCTCAGCCCTTCTTATTTTTATTTTGAAAAAGAGTCTTGCTAAGTTGCCTGGGCCAGACAGAAAGTAACACTCCTCTGCTTCAGCCTCCCAGGTAACTGCCCCTGCACCTGGCTGTGGTAGCTCTTAAAGTATAACTTAGAGAAAAATAAAGTACTATATAGTTTTCTCCTATAGGCAAATTACATAAGTTGCATTTTAAAAAATCTGTAGTTCACTATTCTACATCATTTTTTGTTTTAATGCCAGATCAAAGAGTTGGCCTGCTATGATTATAGTTTCTATGAAGGCAGATTGTCTTCTTCTTCTTTTTTTTTTTGCAGAACTGGGGATTGAACTCAGGCCCTTGCGCTTGCTATGGAAGCGCTTATTCCACTGAGCCATCTCCCCGGCCCAGATTGTCTTCTAACTACTCTTTGCCAAAAATTAGACTATTTATTTTTGAAATTTATTGTATAGTCCTGCAAATTATGAATAAGCCCCATTCACTGTTTCCAGCCCTTGTTGCCCCTCTAAGCATCACATGGTGTGATGGAGAGTGTGGAAGGACCTGACTCATCAAGGAGAGAGGCCTTTCAGATGTCTTGACCCCTTTGGAGGGAGACACAGTTGTTGCACAGAGGCATAAATTCCAGAGCTGTCATAATAGGAGTCTTGTGGCTTTTTGTTGTATTGAAACAGCAAAGGAAACTTGGCCAAGTTTGATATTTTTACATTTGCCTTTAAACCAAGCAGTATTCTACTATTGCTTTAAGTACACTACATGCTCTATGAGCTGTGATAATATAACTAGTTTACCACTTCTGGCATGACACCTTATATGGAAGAAAATCATAGCCTCCTTTTTAATTTCTTACAACTTTTTAAAAATTAATTTTACATCCTAATGCAGGGTAATCTAAACAACAGATTTGCACAGCGTGCTGTGCCAGCCCAAGGCTCACTGAGACAGCAATTGAGACTGGGCGTGTGGCGCACCCTGTAATCCCAGTGCTTGGGAAGCTGAAAACAGGAGAATTACTATGAGTCTGATCTGTGTAGTGAGACCCTGTAGACCCTGTATGCCCTGTACTAAATACATTAAAAATAAATAAAAATAAACAAATTTAAAGACAACATTATGAGGCCAGGGAGATGGCTCAGTAGACTAAGCTCTTGACTGGCAAGCACAAGGGCCTGAGTTCAATCCCCGGTTCCTTCAAAAAAAAAAAAAAAAAAAAGACGTTATACAATGTAACAACCATTGTTGAATTCCTATTTCGTTTAGTGAAATTCTGTATTTTTTTTTCCTAACTTATAAACACATAATTTGTTTAAGAGGAAGGGAAACAACTTGGAATAGATCAGAATACACCTTCACATTAATCATTCTTTTCATATACTTCAAATTTGTACTTAATGCCTTTCTCCTCCTGGACCTCAGAAAGCACACCTGGGTATTTCGGGAGGAGCCTGTATTTCTTCAAATCAATTTCTGGAAAACATGTGTCACTTTCAAATTCTGGCATGATCCTTGTCACGAACAGTTTGACATGGCCTGGCCAATCCATGGCTTCCTTGTAAACAGCGCTGCCACCCATGACCCACACCAGGTCTACCTTGCTGGCTAATTCTGGTGCTCAATAAGCTTCAGGGCGTCATCCAGACTTTGGGCAAGAAAGTGAGCTCCTTGGGGAGGTCCCTTGAGCTCTCTACTGAGTACTATATTAAGTCTGTCTTTCAAAGGTCGATTCTTCTCAGGAATGGAGAACCAGGTCTTCCTACCCATTACCACCAGTTTCTGTTTACCTTCCACTGAGGTGGTTGTGGTCATTCTCTGGAAATAGTTGAATTCATTCCTGAGTGGAGACCAGGGCAAGTCCCCGTTCCTGCCGATACCCATGTTCTGGGACATGGCGACGATGCAGTTCAGAGGATGCACCATGGCGCCCCTTGCTCTGAGCTGGCCCGGGACCCTGAACTGAAATTCTGTATTGTTTCTAATTTTTTTATTCTTTTTTTAATTCTCTTTAAAAAATTAAAAAGAAAATTATATTATCCCTAATTATTTTTAATTTTACCATTCATGGTAAAAATGTAATCAGTGTAATAGAACTAGAGTATATGTAAGAATGTAAGATCTAAACTTCAGGTGAATGCATAATTTGTATTTCATAATCCAAAAATATCAAATATGGAATTAGTACTATACTCATGAATTTGAACTGATGACTCCTGAAACTAGTATGTGTTAGTAAAGAAAGTATATAGTATTTTGAAAGACCTATCTTATAATACATGTAGTAATTTAATGTAATTTTAAATATTAACAAATAACAGATTTTAAGAACATAACTGAAAGCCCTTTGTGACTATATATGCCACACCCAGGGCCACCACACCCAGTCCCAATCGCCTGGTCTCAGCGTCCTGGGGGTGGGGCTGGCACGCAGGCACTGGGATCACACTCCCAGCCCCTGCATCTCCCTAAGCAGGTGCTTTAATCCGCTGAGCTATTTGGCACCCCCCTACTCTGTGATTATATTGACTTGGAAATAAATATTTCAAAAGCTAAAATATAATTTATCATTAGATATAGTTTAATTATGTTCTGTGTGGGATTCTAATAAAGATTCTAAAGTTAGGACATTAGACCAAAATCATATATAATTAAAAGTATTTTTTAAGTCCCTTTGAAAATCCTCTTAGAATCTGAACAACAGATTTGATGATAAAAATACAGAACAGAGCAACTGTTGCTAATTAGCTTTTCTTGTTTTGAAAATCTGTAACATATGTATTGTTGATGTTACCCTGTTTGTCTTTGTTTCTGCTGTTAGGTTTTGCTTTTGTTTTTTCTCTTCAACATAAATTTAACTTAAATTAAAAAAAAAAAGAAAAAAAGAAAATCCTCTTAAGAGACCAACGTACAACTCTTTTTTTTTTTTTTTTTGGTGGAACCAGGGATTGAACTCAGGCCCTTGCGCTTGCCAGGGAAGCGCGTATTCCACTGAGCTATCTCCTCGGCCCAAAATATTACATTATCTTCTGTGTTTTTTTTTTTTTTTGCTGAACCGGGGATTGAACTCACGCCCTTGCGCCTGCTAGGGAAGCGCTTATTCTGTTGAGCCATCTCCCCCACCCCCAACGTACAACTCTTAGGCTGATAAAACTTGTTTTTTCTCCTTCACTGAAATATAGTATAATTTAAGTTGAACACCAGGTGACACCCTTGCCTTGCATTTAAGAACTATGTTGTATGAATAAACACCAGGCAAATAGTAGTAATAAGAACACACTCCTCTGTACCACTCAATAAAGCTTTCAGGCACTATGGGCAGTGTGTTCAGATATAATCATTTCATCTACCCCCAAACCTGTGAGAGAAACTGTTCACTTCGTCTTCATTTTACAGATGAGATAACAAAAGGGCAAAAATGTTAAATAGTCCACGGCCACACAGCAGATCAGCTCCATGCCATTGACCACTACAGCAGGCTACTCACGGACGTCCTCGTTACGGAGCTGCTTATAGTGAAAGATGTGTCGGAGTGAGGAGTAATTGAAAGGAGAGCCATCTTGGGTAGTGGAGGCATACATCTGTACCACTTTAGTCATTCCTTTTTAGCTACTCAGTAGATATGTGTACACTTATCATGGAGCCCTATTATAGTTAATATATCTTAATTTTGTTCATATTATCTAAGTTATTTTCTCCCATTGGGTAGAGCAAAACTAAAGCCAGGTCTCTTCCTGTATTGTCACAGTTCTGGATTAGATTTTGATGAAATTAAAAACAAAAAACAAAAAAATAAAAAAATAAAAAATAAAAAAATAAATTAAAAAAAGGGGCCAGGGCGATGGCTCAGTAGGATAAAAGCTTCCCTGGCAAG